CCTCTGCACCCAAAATCAGCCCCGGCAGGACAAAGTGAGGGCACCCACCTGCCCCCTCGGGGTGGGGGGGGACCCTGTGGTCCTGCTGGCCTGGGGGAAGGGTGCTGGGCTGGGGAGAGGGGTGCTGAGCCAGGGGGAGGAGGAGGAGGAGGAGGAGGAGGAAGGCTGAGCGCACGATCCCATTAAAGAGCTTGGGCAGCAGGAGGACAAGGGGCGGCACCCAGCAGGGCAGGATTAGGGGGGCTCGTTACCCCTCCGGGGTAATTAGCTCCCGTTCCTCCGCAGGAGGAATCCCCCAGCGCTGCCGTCCCCCTGCCACCGCCCCTGCGGCACCCGGGGACCCCGTGGCTCCCCGGGGGGGGACGGGGGAGACATGAGCAGGGGACTGACCCCATCCCCAATGCCAACCCAGAACATAGGGGGACACAGCCCGTGGACACGGTGGGGGGGGGAGCCCCAAACCCACGCCCCCTCCCTGAGCCATCCCGGGGGACACAGGGTGTCCCCGTCCCCCGCGGGCAGGGGGTGGCCCGCTGCCTGCCCCCTTACGTAAAGCCCCGTGCCCACCTCCCCGAGATGCTCCGTCTTTTTTTTTCCCCTGAGCCCTAATCTTTGCCATCTTGGGCTAATTGGATTTCCTGGGTCACATGGTGAGATAAAAAGTCCCCAAATCCCACGATCCAAAAAAATCAGGTTATCCATGGGGAATTAAGGGAGAGAGCGGCGGGCAGCCGGCCCGCGGGGGGCCCCCCAACTCTGCCCGCTGGGGGGGGGCCTCACCATCGGGGCGGTGGGTACCCGGCTCCGCTTTTCGGGGCTCTTCTTTCTCCTCCTATCACCCACCGCCCGCCCCCAGGGTGTGTGCGCCGCTCCCCACGGAGAGCTGGAAGAGCCCGGGGACCTAGAGGAGCTTGAGGTGTTCAAGGAGGAAGACGAGGACATGGGGAGCGGGGCCAGCGCGGAGGACAAGGAGATGGCCAAGAGGTCCAAGGAGTTGGAGAAGAAGCTCCAGGAGGATGCGGATAAGGAGGCCAAGACGGTCAAGTTGCTCTTGCTTGGTAAGGGTGGAGGGGATGTCTCCGGGAGGACGCGGGAGATGTCCCCCTGTCCCCACCTGGCACGAGGGACCCCGTTGATGCTGGGGGGGCTGCGGCTGCCGGGGATGGGCAGGGAGCAAAAGCAACCAGGGAGAGGGGACAGGGACAGGGGGCAGGCAGTCCCCAACCCCATCAGCTCCTCATGCCCTGCCTTTCTTGGTCCCAAGGAGAGCCCCTTCCCTGCAGCTCGTTAGCCCTCGTTAGCCTGATGACTTGCCGTTAGCGAGTTGAGGTTGTCCCACCGGCTGGATGTCCCCCAGGGTTGCGCCTGGGAAGGGCCGGGGTGGCATCGGCTCTTGGTGGCGACTAGACGGGTGGCAGGGACGAAAGAGACAGCGTGGGGACGGGGAAGGGACCAGGACACCAGGTCCCACCTGGGCCAGGCTGCGGCACATCCCAGGGGGGTCAGTGAGACCCTGGGGAGCTCCTGCCACCAACACCCCCAAAACCCTGCCGCTGGGCGCAGGGCGGGAAGGGACAGCCCCTCTGGGGACCCCCCTCACCCCGCTCGAGCAGCGGGGTGACCCCATGGGGAGGCATCGCGGCCCCACAGGGCAGGGATCGGCAGCGGGGGCTTATCCCGCCGGGGTCAAGGCGATTAGCACCCTAATTCTAAGCGGCTTCCTGTGCTGCCCTAAGCCGCTTACAGCACCGAAGCCGTCGCCGGCGGTGCCCGCGGCGGGCAGGAGGCGTGGGACCCCGGGG